GAGAAAGACAATGGTGTGTGTGTGTGTGTGTGTGTGTGTGTTACACCAAGTTGGCCACTAGATGGCAGTGTGTTACTGTGGTTTTTCTCACACACACACACACACACACACACACACACACACACAGAGAGAGAGAGAGAGAGAGAGAGAGAGAGAGCGCTTATCCTCAATCTGCAGTAATTGCACATTAGGCTGTAATACGCCATTCCACACACACACCGCTCTCACACTCAGCTCCACATCTGTACACACTGTTCTACACACACACTCACTCCGTCCCTGAGTGAGAGAGAGAGAGAGAAAGACAGAGAGAGTGAGACAGAGAGAGACACAGAGAGTGAGAGTGAGACAGAGAGACGGAGAGAAACACAGAGAGAGAAAGAGAGAGAGAGACAGAAAGACAGAAAGAAAGAGAGAGCGAGAGAGAAAGACAGAGAGTGAGAGAGAGATAGTGCGGAGGAAAACACAGATGCCAGAAAAAGGTTCTTCAGATCAATGCCATTATTCAGAACTGTTTTTGGTCCTCTAAAGAAACACACTCTTATCCTTAAAGATTCTTCAGTTCTCCTTCTGGGGAAACTCTTAAAGGTTCTGTGTAGAACGCTACACCAGAGAGGGTTAAATGTAGAACACTTTAAGGGCACTAAGAACCCTTATTTACCTACCAAACCCTTAAAGAACTCATACTTGTCTTTCTAAAGAACCTTTTGCTCCATGATTCAGTCTGCTGATTAGCTTAGCTAATGCTGTTAACTGTTACCTCGCAAATCGTAAGTTATCAGCTGTAACTTAAGCTCCGCCCCTTGCCGATAACAAACTAAATGAAATTACATTAAAGGCAAACAGTGAGCGCGTTTTCTTTAAAGGAGAGCGCATCAAATTAACCAAAACACTGGCATTATTTTATTACTTCAACAGAATTAAAGTGTGATAAAATCACCTATGTCCCGCACAAACGTTACGATTTCATCACCTCCATTTAGTGTCTCATGAGTAACTGTCAGAGTACGATATAAAAATAAATAAAATGTAAAATAACAGGCTGCGCTGGATCAAGTGCTATTCTATGTGCTGCTGAATGATGAGTGTGGAAGCCATTTTGTTCAATTAAACCAGAGATTAATGTGAGAATTACAACTAGCTCTAATCATGCAGTGATGTACTGCTGATATACGAGACTCCTGTTCCATTTATTTCAACACTCGCCATCTTTACATTCATATATCATCATAATAGTCTTTTATTTTTTCAGTTTTAAAGTCTCTTTTCATTTTATGTTACAGTGTCTTATATTTGACAGCAAAGAAAAAACACTGTTTCCTTCTTCAGTCCGTATTTTCTATCCCTGATTGTTTTCAGGTTTAAAGCCGAGTGTTTGTGTTTAAAGGCGGTGGTCTAGACGCTGGTGTAAAACCCCACAGCGGCGTAACCCGACTCTGAATACCAGGAACTTTCCTCACGTAAAGACTGACGGAACTTTTGGACTTAAAGTCGCCGACTCTGAATACGGCTCTTAGTGATCATGTGATTTAATATAAAAATATTATTTTGTTGTATGGGTGATTTCAGGTTGTTGCCTCATTTGGTTGTGTTTCCATCATCATGAGCAGCCTGTCCTAAAATAACACACACACACACACACACACACACACACACACACACAGAGCTGTGCTCATTATTTCACTTTACACCATTAACATCTCGATTTGGAACGCTGACCGTCTCCCACAGGGGGGGAAACGTGGGGGATTGAGGCGGCTTTGTTTGAGACCTCGATATGTGTGTGTGTGTGAGGTAGGTCACCTCGCGCAGCTGCGTGCTGAGGTCCACACACCCCTCCCCCATCAGACCTCATTACGGTGGAGAGGCACGACCAGCCGCCCACACACACACACACACACACACGCACACACACACACACACACACACGCACTGTCAGGTGCTAAAAAGCCAACACGGATTAGTTTCTATGCCAACGGAAGCAGGACGCTCTCACGCAGTATCCGTGTGATGCGTTTTATTTCCTTCTGTGTGTGTGTGTGTGTGTGTGTGTGTGTTTGTGTATCTCCTGGAGATAAAACTGCTTCTGCCTCACTAAACACACCACCGGAGCGAAAACAGCATAAAGCTCACACCATATTTATTTCCTTTATTATCATTTTTAGGGTTTTGATCATTTTTATTCAGGGTGAAATAATTCATTATTTGATTTAAAGCACATTAAAATTTTAACATTTCATTTCAGCTTGAATTTTTAAAAAAATTGTATTATTCATTATTATTGATTATTGTAGCTTGATTGTGGTTGTGAATGTATCTTTAAAATGGAAATTCCCCTCGCTTCATCTCATTTCTTTGTTCTGAAATCTCACATCTTAAACTTCAATTATGCATTTATTTTTCACTTTGAACATTTCCTTGTTTTGAAGACCTTGTGTTGTGATGTCATTAGCATAAACACATTTACATATGCAAATAGATGCATTTTTCACTGGAGGACAGTTTCAGGAATAATCAGGGGTGGAGCTTGCATCTCTATTTCAAAATAGCTGATTGGTCAAACAGCCACCGTGATCATCCACCAGTCCAATAGCAACACCAACAATGTTTATGCTAATTAGTTAAGATAAAGCAGTTAAATAAATGCAGTTAATTCCTCAGGCCAGTTCTGTCTTGTTGGTTGTTTTGATGTTTATAATTATACAGGAGAATGTATAGCATTTGTCTACAGTTTCTTAGCAGGCATTAAAAATAGCTCAACTGGCCACGAGCAACAAACCTGGAGCATCATCAGTGATGTCATTTGCAGCATAAACTCGGGGTTTAAGTGAACAGGAAATTCACCCATGTGCTGAAATCTCCTTCTATCTCTTCTGTCATTTTCCATAAGGATTACAGTACCTGTAGTCTGGTAAGAACAGGAACTCATCAAGGAACTGTGAAGTTCTTCAACTCTTTAGTTTATGAGAAGCTTCTGGAACCTTAGTGGAGAAACACCTTATCTACAGCAGGCCTGTTGTTTGTGGACATTTTGAGGTGGGAAACTGCTGAGGCTCATTCCTTCTGAAATTACTATTTTGATTTGTCACGTTTCTGTCACATCCATCAAACATAATTTGTGTCTAAGCGTTCATCGCATCATTATATAAATATATATAATATACACTATACAGCCAAAAGTATGTGCACCCCTGACCATCACACCCATATGTGCTTGTTGAGCATCTCATTCCAGATTTACTCCCTCTGTGTTTGCTGTTATAATGAGCTCCACTCTTCTGGGAAGCTTTCCACTAGATGTTGGAGCGTGGCTGTGGGGATTTGTGTTCATTCAGCTACAAGAGCATTAGTGAGGTCAGGCGCTGATGTTGGTGAGGAGGTCTGGGGTGCAGTCGGTGTTCCAGTTCATCCCAAAGGTGTTCAGTGGGGTTGAGGTCAGGGCTCT